AGCTACTTGGGAGGCTGAGGTGGGAGGATCACCTGAGCCCGGGAGGTCGAGGCTGCAGTTAGTCATGATCATGCCACTACACTGCAGCCTGAGCAACAGTCCCCATCTCTAAAACGAAACAAAACAAAGAAAACCCCCCAAAATTGAACAGTAGAGGCATGAAGAACAAAGCTATCCCTTCCCTTGGTGCTTTTTATGGCCTATAGCAATTATTCTCAAAGTGTGGCCCCTGGACCAGCACCACCTGGGTCCCCTTGGAAATTGTTAGAAATGCATGTTTCTGGGTCTCAGCTTAGTCTTACTGAATGAGAAACTCTATGGTCGCAGCAATCTGTATTTTAGCAAGCATTGAGGGTGGTTCTGAAATACTTTAGAGTTTGAGAACCAACGGCCTCTGAATACACTTCAAATTCTGTAACATGGTGTTTCTATGGCTCTTTGTATTCTTTCCCCAGCCTCTGTTTCCAAACCTGCTTTTATGACTCACCTTTCTTTAGTCACCTGAATTTGTTGGTGTTAGTGGAACACTCTGTACTTTTTCATTCCCTATGTGTTAACACTCTAAGCTAGAATGACATTCTTCCTTTTGCTGTTTTGTCTGGTGAACTCCCAATCATACTTCAGTGGCAGCTCAGACTTCACCTTTTCTCAGAAGCTCTCTCTTACTCCTTTCAGTCAAGTTAGCCACTCTCTCCTGTGTGCTTCTAAAACCCTTTGAAAAATCCCTGTTTTAGTTATGTGAACTTATTTATGTTTTTGTCTCTCTTACTCAACCAGGCATCCCTGAGAGTAGGGATCTCATGATATTTATATTGTTGAATCAATCCTAGAGCTTTTAGCTTTTAGCAAAGTCTGCCATTTTTTTTTTCCTTTGTGTGATTTGATCTTCTCACAGGACTTTTGGAGATCTCAAACTAAATAATATATAAAATGCTTTGAATATCACGTAGTGCTTCACAAATGTAAGGTGGTATTATGTACACTAATGCATTACATTTCGTTTATTATAACCCATAATGATGTTTAATGAAGCACTATCGATATATTATGAGCTGCTTTTTGGGAATGATGATTTCATTGTTTGGTTGCATGGGATTTCTATAATGTATGATGAGCATTTTCTGTTATTCCTGTCTGTGGTGTGAACTCAGGATGTGTCTCTTTAGAGCATATTTGATTACTTTATCACATGTTTGATTCCTATATTATCAAAGGATGAAAAACAAAGAGACTTGTCTTGAGTTCATGAAACCTTATTGCCAGCATCCCAGATAATTAATGGAAGCCCATTCAAATTCCTAAGTGATCTGTCAGAATTTCTGCCAGGAAAATTAGAAAATTCAGGGTTTAGGCTTGGTTTTCTTTTTATGTAAATTAGATGTGTGTTACATTATCTGGTCACCTTATTAATATTTGCTTTCTAGTCATGTTGACGACAGCATATCAGTTGGAATATCACAAATTTTTGTGATTTTAATATTATCTTGAATTTAGTTAAATAAATAAGAAATAAAATATAAATTAAACCTTTTGGAAGTCAAGTATAAGCAAGAGAGGATTTCATGAACGTAAAATAACGTTCTGCTTAACATGCACTTGGATAAAGTAACCCTGAAACTTGAAAGTATAATTCAGGGGAACTTGGAATTCCTATGTAAGAGCTCCCTATCAGAATCTCTGAAGGAAAAAGATAAAAAATTGCAAGCCTTTCCATTCAATGATAATCTTAGAAGTTTATTGTAAGAAGTTTGAGGAGTTATGTTTCCTCTTCTAAGTATATATCCCAAGCCAGATCACACACATGAAACAAAAATAGACAATAAAAACAAAAAACCCCAACCCTTTAACATACTATGATTTGAGACCTCTTTCAAGTTACATGAGCAATGTGGTTGATATATTGTGATTACTGAGTGAGTGAGGTGCTTGTGCAGACTTGAAGGTAAGTTTTAAGAGTTCTGGGATTACATGCTCTGTTTGTAAATAGTCGTAAACTCTAATTGGTTTACTTTAAATATAAATACATTTGTAATATATACACAGGTATATTAATGTTGAGTTTGTGTTTTATTTGAATATATTTTTTTCCACTGTGTTTTAGGATATTAATAGAAAAAGTACGAATGTGGTAGAATCATGGGGTGGAACCAAAGAAAAACAAGCTTACACCCATATCATCTTCAAGAATGCAACTTTTACGTTTACATGGGCATTCCAGAGAACTAATCAGGGTCAAGATGTAAGTTCCAAGCACTTTTTTTTTCTTTAAATACACTAATGATGCCCCCTTGTGGAGATACATACAAAGTGATCACTCAAATTTGGAAGAAAAGACTGCTTCTTTAAAAATATAGAATGAATAATCTGGTTATGGAGTCAGTAGTATAAAAATGATAATTTTTTTATTTTTTGAGAGTAAGAATGTATGGAATAAAATAACAACATGTCTTTGAATTGTTCTTCACTCTGAACAAATATAGTTTTTGGAAACTTACGAGAAGGAAAATCTAATTTTGCAGTTCTCTAAAAATAGCTTGTTTTTAAAGCTTTCTGAGGCTTTGTGAAGATGGGCAACTTTCTTCCTCTTCATCTGAGTCATCTGATGTTTATCTAAGAGCCATTAACTAGTGTTTTTTTATTTTTTCATTACAGTAATATTTCCTTTACAGCCTGGAGAATGTGTATGTACACACTATTGAGCTAACACACAGAATCATTTCCTTTATTTTATTTTCCCTGCCAGAATAGACCTATTCCTCCCCTAAGTATATTCCATTGTACCGTATGTTTCAATAGTAGCAGGACTTATTTTGTGGATCTCCATAGATGTAACCTTCCCAAGGTGAGAACAAGATAAACCACTTGTTCAAAAGTGGCCGTAATGCTATGGTGGCAAATGTATGGCTTTTTCTCTTCTTCTCTTCAGGCTTTCAGTGGGGAACAAATTCCCCAGATTGTACTTGACTCTAGTTATTCCTTATGAATGTTAAGGTTACCGTCCTGTGGGGCATGAACCTTTCCTTGCCTTCAATTTATCTTTGTCCCAGACAAAAAGCATTAAGTAGTCTGGGGTAACACTGCTCTGTACTGATAGAGTGATGCCCACTGCTTAATTAAAGCCAGACCTTAAAGTGACCCAGTGTTACAAGAAGGAAAATCATAATAAGACCCAGGTTTTTGCTCTCTAGTTCACATCTTTTCTTATGTTGATTAGGGAAAGGACTGGAGAAGGGAAGGAAGACTCAGTCAAATTGTGTGATTGCATTGATTTAACACAGTTAATGTTTGTGTGTGACTAGAGGTCCTAGTCTTCCAAGATTTTCTAATCCCCATTCCAAGGCATTTCTACCCTGCCACACTTTCAACATCCTATTGTATCATTTGATTTAGGCTAAGATGTGAATAAACAATGTTGGGATATAAAAAACTGTTCCTGTCTTTAAACTATACTAGTTCTTCTGGATATGAGGTCTATAATTGCATCCTAATTTCTACCAATTGTGACAGATCTCACAGTAATTGTGACAAAACTCCTGGAACTCTATTATTGTGGAAATTAGTTTCTGGTGTCAAGATTTAAGATTTTCAAAAAGAAGAACCAAATAGCAGTGATATTAATCTATTGTCAATTACAAACTATTAGGCTGGAACACTCTATTTAGTTATTTTGATGATATCAACATAAGACATAATCTGGTTGTACAACTAAGCCCCAAGGCAGAAGTCGTTACTTTCTGCTCTTTTTTTAGAATAGACGATTCATCAATGACATGGTGAAGATTTATTCTATCACAGCCACTAATGCAGTTGATGGGGTGGCGTCCTCATGCCGTGCCTGTGCCCTCGGTTCTGAACAGTCGGGTTCATCGTGTGTCCCCTGCCCTCCAGGCCACTACATTGAGAAAGAAACCAACCAGTGCAAGGAATGTCCACCTGACACCTACCTGTCCATACATCAGGTCTATGGCAAAGAGGCTTGTATTCCATGTGGGCCTGGGAGTAAAAGCAATCAGGTAAGTGGGTCTGCATTTCAGGTATCCGCATGAAAGCACATTTTAATAGAGAAATTCAAGGGTTCTCCTTAACGTTTCTTTGGGAGCTATGAGGTTGCTATTTATTCTGAAATAAGACTTTCAATTTACCGTTTCTCTTTTCTCCCTTCTTGCATTTATTAAACACTTACTGTATGTCATGAAAGTACTAGTTACTGGTGACACAAAATATTAAAAGCTCCCAAATAAGAATGCTTTTCCAAAATATTAAAACTGATTTCTTGTGTATTGTTTAGGTACAGCAAATAAACTACCTATCTGTAGGCTGGCTGTCGCAGTCATCTGGGAACAGCTAGTGTTTCTTACAATTTTTAATGGCAAAGATTGATGCCATATTATGAGTGAAGGACAAAGCAGTTTTACTGTCTGTTTAAATTTACATAACAGAATTTTGGCTATTTCTTACTATTGTTCTTCACTCTGAAGAAATAAGTTTCTACGAGGAACAAACCTGAGGATAACTTTACTCTGTCTTTAAAAGATTCTGAATTTTCTGAACTCTGGCTAGAAAAATCTAGTTAGAGTTTAGAAATTCTTGATATTAGTGTGGTAAAGTATATTATAGCTAAGATTAAATTACTGGAATAGTTTTTACACCTAGAACTTTTTTCAAACACATTTTAGTAGCAGCTAATATTTTCTTTCCTGCTATATCGTTTCTTTATCTTTAATCAAAGGACCATTCGGTTTGCTATAGTGACTGCTTTTTCTACCATGAAAAAGAAAATCAGAGTTTGCACTATGACTTTAGCAACCTCAGCAGTGTGGGCTCATTAATGAATGGCCCCAGCTTCACCTCCAAAGGAACAAAATACTTCCATTTCTTCAATATCAGTTTGTGTGGGCATGAGGTGAGTTCTGGCTGTCAAGGTGAGATGGACCTATATTTCAGCTCTGATCGAGTTGATATTTTCTGTGTTAATGGACCCGTGAATTCTCTATGGATATCAACCAAGTATCAGAAACTGAAGTTTGATTGCTTAGATCCTCTATTGCCTCCTAGAATATTGGCAGATTTCTCCACCAGGGGCAACCTTGTCTGGTTCTCAGTGTATCAAATCACTTACGCAGTCAGTTGAAACCTGAAGCTTGGAGCTATGGTGTAAGTGCTTTGAGGACGTTTCGTTTTCATAAAAATGGGTCAGGGTTGTCAATCTTACCTCTTTTTTAGGCAGGAAGTTATTTGAGAAAGTGGTACTTGTTTATGTTGTCAATTTTGTGTTTTAAAAAGAAAAAGACTTTCTTTTTTTTTATTATTATTATACTTTAAGTTCTAGGGTACATGTGCATAACGTGCAGGTTTGTTACATATGTATACTTGTGCCATGTTGGTGTGCTGCACCCATCAACTCGTCAGCACCCATCAACTCGTCATTTACATCAGGTGTAACTCCCAATGCAATCCGTCCCCCCTCCCCCCTCCCCATAATAGGCCCCGGTGTGTGATGTTCCCCTTCCCGAGTCCAAGTGATGTCATTGTTCAGTTCCCACCTATGAGTGAGAACATGCAGTGTTTGGTTTTCTGTTCTTGCGATAGTTTGCTGAGAATGATGGTTTCCAGCTGCATCCATGTCCCTACAAAGGACACAAACTCATCCTTTTTTTATGGCTGCATAGTATTCCATGGTGTGTATGTGCCACATTTTCTTAATCCAGTCTGTCACTGATGGACATTTGGGTTGATTCCAAGTCTTTGCTATTGTGAATAGTGCTGCAATGAACATACATGTGCATGTGTCTTTATAGCAGCATGATTTATAATCCTTTGGGTATATACCCAGTAATGGGATGGCTGGGTCATATGGTACTTCTAGTTCTAGATCATTTAACCGTAGAAGAAAACCTAGGTAATACCATTCAGGACATAGGCATGGGCAAGGACTTCATGACTAAAACACCAAAAGCAATGGCAACAAAAGCCAAAATTGACAAATGGGATCTAATTAAACTAAAGAGCTTCTGCACAGCAAAAGAAACTACCATCAGAGTGAACAGGCAACCTACAGAATGGGAGAAAATTTTTGCAATCTACTTATCTGACAAAGGGCTAATATCCAGAACCTACAAAGAACACAAACAAATTTACAAGAAAAAAACAAACAACCCCATCAAAAAGTGGGCAAGGGATATGAACAGACATTTCTCAAAAGAAGACATGCATACAGCCAACAGACACATGAAAAAATGCTCATCATCACTGGCCATCAGAGAAATGCAAATCAAAACCACAATGAGATACCATCTCACACCAGTTAGAATGGCAATCATTAAAAAGTCAGGAAACAACAGGTGCTGGAGAGGATGTGGAGAAATAGGAACACTTTTACACTGTTGGTGGGATTGTAAACTAGTTCAACCATTATGGAAAGAAACAGACTTTCAAGAGGAAGTTTGTTCAAAATAAAAAGGAGACATGCAGGGCCAAATATCAGTTGATAATGTAGGCTTAAATCATACAAATGGATTTTATTTTCTGTGAGAAGAAGAGGAATCTTAATTGATACTGGCAATGGTGAGAGGTTACAGGACCATAATGTCCAATATTTTAATGGACATATGAGGTTAGGGCATGCAGAGTAGAAACAGAATAAGACATTTCCTCCATGTCACTTCCCATATTAACTCCTATATTTTCAATTGTCTTCATTATGAGATACTGTGCAAAGCTTTGCACAAAGGAAACAAAAAGAGATCTGATGACCATAGAGGTTTTCAAACAAAAAGATCCATAACATTTTACGTGGTATGACAGTTGTCCTGTTTTGATTTTACCTGGGGTGATCCAAGACACTCAGTAGATTAGTTACTCAGTTCACTCAATAAATATAAATACCTGTTATGTGCCAGATAGTGTGGGAAGCAGTGAATAAGATTAATTCCATTATCTATCATACTTCTATCACAATCTTATCCTACATTAGCACTACCTTTTTTTCTACCTTCTCTTCTCTTCCCCTTTGGCTTCTATCTCTTTCTTTCCTTTCTATTCTTTTTTTTTTTTTTCTTTTAGCTTCCACTATTTTCCTTTTTCTTTCCTAAGTACCTTTTCTTTGCTCTTTTTCATTATTTGTTATTGGCTTCAACATTTTAATTTAAGCCTAGTAAAAAAATATATAGTGGTGAGAAGGCCTATTGTTGTGAGAAGGCCTGGTAGCGGGAGAAAAATGTATGGGTTAGATGTGCTAGCTGCATTAAGAAAGAGAATATATTTTTCTTTTTACACATCTGTGTACACTCTATATCTAACACCAGTGAAATGGTTTTCCTATTTTTACATTTACTTTGTAGAAATTATGGAGCAAGCTATAGTCCTTTGCAGTGGGACTATAGTATATTTAAACAATTTTTCCATTTTTATAAGTTATATCTTCAATTATTTTCTAAATTATTAGAAAACCAAATCTCTGTATTCCCTTTAACTTGTATGGTTGAACAGATACACATCATTGAATCTAAGAGTAGGTGAATAAAGACACTTGTAGTGACCAACTATTTAGAATTCAGGTGTTTTTCTAGAATTTTGCTGCAGTACGACTTGCTTTCTTCTTTAGCCTTCACATTACCTTTCTGCTACACATAGGATCATAAAGGAAAAGGAAGACCAACTCTTTTTCTTTGGCATTAAAGCTTTAAACGGCAGTTTGCTGGTCTCTTTGCATGCATTGTTATTCTAGGAATTGAACATTTCATAGATTACTTGTATTTTCTTAAGCTTGATGACTTTCATTTATTACAAATGATGCTTATAGTGGGAAGAGCAGTATAGTCTTGAATTACTGTATTTGTTATAACTTCAGACTCTGAACTTTGGTTGAATATTGGACTTTCCTTGAGAGCTTTGAAAAAGTACTGGTGGATGGCTAAGCCTCACACCCGATCAACTAAATCAGAATCCTTGCAGTGAGGAGAGAGCCACTGCTGTTCTAGGGTCACTAGCTAGTTGGGACTAAGTTTAGAGATTGACATCCAATAAAAACTTTCTTTTATGACTTTATTTTCCTAGGGGAAGAAGATGGCTCTCTGTACCAACAATATAACAGACTTTACAGTAAAAGAAATAGTGGCAGGGTCAGATGATTACACAAATTTGGTAGGGGCATTTGTATGCCAGTCAACAATTATTCCTTCTGAAAGTAAGGGTTTCCGAGCAGCCTTGTCATCACAATCCATCATTCTGGCAGATACATTCTTAGGTAAGCTTCCTTTGGTTCATATATGCATGCATACATTTATTCTTAAATTATGCTGTGGATAACTTGTCATTGTATTGGTGTTTGCAAAAGATGATTAAGGCCCCCACAGGTAATTTTACATTATCACTTTGTAAGATGGTGAAAAAACTCCTACTAGTGGGGACTATTGAATAGTCTCTGAGAAGCTTCTGCATTTATGTGTTAATTCATATATAAGTATGACATTTTCTGAGGGTCTGTGCCTGGCATCAGATTTTCTAGACCAATTTTAAAAACCAAAACTAAAAACAAAGTAAGAATAGTAAACAAACACAATCTACACCTAAATCATTTATATGCCACCAGTTTCCATCATCTTTTCTCATACCAAAAGTAAGCAGGTGACAAACAGCAAAGGTGCTGAGTTTCATTCCTCATGTTCCCTTTTTGGCTCTGTAGTCCTGGAAGCCATAGGAAAGTTTCAAGAAGAATCTAGCTCTCTAATGAGTGACTCCTAGGGATCAAATTTATTATGATCTCTACAGTGGGGGTTAGGATTCTGTGGTTTTAACAAGCTTCATAGGTGATTCGGATGTGTGGCCAGATGTGAGAACCTTGCTGTAGTATAGACTCCAGAGGAATTTAGCATTGACTTTCAGCACCAAGGTCAGTTCCTGGGGGCGGTGGGGGTTGCTCAGAGTGGGAACTCTGAAGCAAAGTTTGCTCTTATTGCTTGTGTTTTGGCTCTGTTATTTTGCTTACAAGAGGCAGGGGGGAAAAAAAGCCTTAGTTTTCTGCTTACTAGATTAAGCAAATTTCAGAGTTATTTTCTGGAAATTATTAGGGCACAAAATTTTTTGCTTTTTCAAATATATCTGTATTGAATATGAGTAAAAAGCTGTATTAGCAAAGCAGCCCAATTCATTCGATAAAAGTCACTGGAGAATGAAAATTTTAAAGGACTTTTGAAATGTTAGAGAACTGAAAAGAACTTCATAGATTATCGAATTACTGCTTGCATTAGATTCAGGCAACAAGACCCGGGGAAGTGAAAAGACTTAAGCAAAATTATAAAGCTAGGGAGTAGAATCTTATCTCTTTCATTCTGGAGACTTTGGAAAATTTCTTATTTTTACCATGAATGCATTAATATAATACAGCATTTCTGTAAATACTGTAAAATGACAGTCACTAAAGCTATTTTCTATTCAAATCTACAGAGACCAAATAAAACCAATTTTCCATATTGCTTAATAGCTTCTTTCTAAATATCATCTAGGAGTTACAGTTGAAACCACATTGCAAAATATTAATATAAAAGAAGATATGTTCCCAGTTCCACCAAGCCAAATACCAGATGTGCATTTCTTTTATAAGTAAGTGAAGATGCTGTTTCCCTTGACTATATTTTAATCAAAAGAAACTAGTATATACGGAACACCAATACTCACATATTTATAATTGTGTGTATGTAATCATATACCAGATGTGAGTTCCTGTGGCAGAGAAGATTGATTATGTCACCTGAGGGTTCCTAGAATGTAGCTTATACTTAATAACTAGTAACTGGTTCTTAAATGAAATATAGTAAAAAGTAGGAAACATGGAATATTTTGAAAGCCTTATATAGTTTCGTGTGTGTGTGTGTGTGTGTGTGTGTATTCAATAAAGAGACTATTTCACTGTCTAGGCAATAATTATTTATAATTCACATATCAAAGCATCAGCGTAAGTAGATATGGTCCTTTTTTCCTTAAGAATATTTTTGATTATAATATTTATTAAAATGATAATATCTTTACTAAATACTTTGATGATAACATCACCTGGGAAAGTAGTCAACTTTTCATAGGCAATGAAAGTAAATGAGGTGAAATTGTATTAAAATTGTAAATTAGTGAATTTTAATACATTTTTCTTTTTCATTTGTTCATGAAGGCTGAGAGCAATTATTCACATATTTTTGTCTTTATAATCTGTATTATATCTGTTTTCTAAAAATATTATTTGGCTTACAATAGGTCTTCTACAACGACAACATCTTGTATTAATGGCCGATCAACTGCTGTGAAAATGAGGTGTAATCCTACTAAATCTGGAGCAGGAGTGATTTCAGTCCCCAGGTATCCTTATTTCCATATGATTTGTGTTAACTATGAGGAAGAAAAACTCTCCAGAACATTACAATTTTAAAACACATTATCTATGAACATAAAGCAGAAAGAAAACAGAAGAATCTGTAGTTTTGTTTTTTTTTATAGGGATGTGCTGAGTGTCTATTAAGAGGAATAGGTCCTTGTACAATCTAAATACTTCCTAGCCTCTTGTATGACATACTCTTGTCCTGTTTGCATACGGTGTCTAATTTTTTTGAAAATTATTTAAGCAATATAAAATTAATTATTCTGCTTGTGTCCCTGTATTTATTTTATTGTTTAGCCTCGATTTCCTTGAGAGCTGGATTAGTAGCTTTCCTGATTTTGGTACTAGATCAACAATTAACTAGCTGGGTGATCAAGTAATCTGACCTCTGAGTCATAGCTTTTTTTTCTGGAAGGGGATGGGGCCCAGGATAGATAATTTGTATTATCGATTTCTAACTCTTCAGTTTATTGATTAATGGTGGCAGAATTACCAAGTTAAGTCTGACTTATAGAATGTGGTTCATTTAACACAGATTAGCATTAAGGCAATAGCCCTCTATAGTCAAGATCTGAATAATGCAGTTCACCTTGGATGGGAACACAAGAAGAAAACAATTTATAGACTCAGAATTGTCAACTTAAATACAGACTGCTTTAATGGCATGAGTGACACTTGAATGCCTCCTGATTTTTTTCAGATATTCACTTTTCAGTATGAAGATTATTTATTTTTTTATATTTTATTTTTAACATTATTATTATTTTTTAATTTTTTTTTGTAGAGATGGGAATCTCCCTACATTGCCCGGGCTGGTCTCAAACTCCTAGCCTCAAGCGATTCTCTCTTCTCAGCCTCCCAAGCTGGGTTGGGATTACAGGTGTGAGTCGTTGCACCCAGCCAGATTATTTATTTCTAATCTTGGCTGAGTTAAGATACCTTTGGATCATAGCTTGATTTGCAGATATTTTTCCTCTATCAAACTAGCAAAAGTATATGTTTTTAAAAAGAAAATGATCGTGTTAATTTTGATTTTGATAGTTTCACAGTAACCCTTGGGAGATTTTAACCTGTCCTGATTATGTCACATCAGGATTGGAAATCAGTGGTGTAAGCATTGCTTCAAATACTTGTGTATCCTAAAAATACTTACAGGGGTAACACAGTATTTTGGGCTTATTTTTGGGCATAAAGGCACACTGACATTCTCTTTCACCAACTGCCGTGTTTCCACTTCTTGTAGATCTGTGAATTAATTATTCTTTTCACCTGCTCAAGGTGAGAGACCGATGCAGCAAGAGTAGTACCTAATAATAATAAAAGGGCATCCTGTGGTGGAGGATCCCTCTCCCAGCCTCCAAACTATAACAAAGGCAGAAAACCACCGTCCAAGAAAAGATGTGGTCAGAGATTCTCGCAATAAAAGCGTGTGTTTTTCATCATTCTCTGATATGCCACCATACAGTTCTGAGTTCAGGTGCTTAATCTATTTACTATAGCACATCTGGGGGTCATTTTATGACCCTGACAATTAACTTCTAGTCTCTAGGAGTTTACTTGAATAGCTTCCAAAGCCTCCTCTAGGCCTCTAACTCAGGTAGATGATGTTAATGAAGACTAGGTCTGTCCTTTAGGAAACACGTCACTCTCTCTCTCGTAAGGTGTGTTCTGATGCTTTCATTGTGATAAGGAAAATAGTCTCCTGGAGTTAAGTGATGGCATGCAGAAACTGAATTTTTCCTATGAGGAGAGGAAAACTTGTTTCTCCTTTGACCTCTAGGAATCTGCCACTCAGGGAAGTAAATGATCTTTCCCAGGGTTTATCAAGATCACCTGCGGCAGAATACCCTGGGATATCTATTGTAAACATTAATTTCTGGGCTGTCTCTAAAAATATAGAATCTTAGATGCTGAGCACAGGAACATTTTTAAAAACCACAAGGCAATTCTGATGCCTACTGAAATTTGAGAACCAGATATTTTCCTAACTCGCATTTTGGAATTTTTTTTGTTTGTTTTTTGAGACAGATTCTCAAAATGTATTCCAAATTTTAGTTTTGTGAAAAGCTAATTTAAAATGTGACAGTCTAAAGGGTGTAGTCCTTCACCCATGTTTGATAAATCTTCATTTAGAGTTGTGATGCGCACTGAAGTGTGCTGACCATTGCTTCAGGGAGCTGCTTCAACACTACAGCCTAAACGTGCCGACCTTTATTTATTTCTTGAATCAATTTCCCATCAGGGCACAAGAGGGAGCTCGGAGATCAGAACACGAGAAACAGCAACTTTCCTGAAATTATTAGTTTTTTTTTGTTTTTCCCCTTTCTTTTAGTGGTGGGATTGAATAACTCTTTCCTACTAACAGGAGAAAAAAAAAAAAAAAGTCAACATAGCCCAGTTTCTCAGGCTGCTTTTTAAGAGAACTTCTTTTCTTTCTTTTCTCTCTCTCTTTCTTTCATTCATTCTTTCTTTTTTTTTCTTTTTTCTTTCTTTTTTTTTTTTCAGCTTTAAGATCTCCAGAGTGGAGGGAGGGAGATGCTAACCAGACGCTTGCCTTGAGAAGCTTCATATGCTGACCAAAAAGTCTCAGAAGGAGACTTTGGTAGTGCAGAAGGAATGCCACTCTCAGGAATTCTCATTGCTTGGCCAAGAATCTTGGCAAGCCAGGCAAAAGTTTCCTTTAGCAGGAGCAATGTTGGTTGGGGTCTATATCTTGGTGTCCTGGGAAAATGTCTTAAGATCCCCAGATCTGGGAAAGTGAGAAAGTCTTAATAGAAAGTGAAATGGGCAAGAGAGAAAAGGGGAAATGTGTGTTCTTTGTGTATCACCTGAGAAATTAGAGGGAGCAGCAAATTATCTGGGCTGCCTTCTCATCTGCAGCTGGAAACACCAGCCTGTCTATTTGGTCTGGCAAATGTAGTTGACTTCTAATTCCATCAAGTGTCTGGAGGGTATGAAACATTTTAGATAAAAACAGTACAGTGTTTATGGCAGATGTAATCTGACAGCTGGAGTGAAGTTACGAGATTTTCTAGTGTAGTTTGCACCTTGAGCAGAGAATAAACTGCTAGCACAATAGGCTGCTGATGTTCCTAAATATTAATAGATGCCCCTAAGTAGATGGCCCCCTAGCCTTTGCCTAAAAGGCTTCTTAAACCTCTAATCATTACCTTAGGTAGATAGAGGAACTGAAGGCTTTTCTTTTATTGGGAAGAATTTAGACCTAAGCATTGTGTCCAAAGGGTTCTTTTAAAAACATGAGAAATTTCTGTTAGTGAAAGGGGTATGAAAAGGACTTATTAAAAAGCAGACAAAGGGAAGCATTTTTACTCTGATAATAGAGGTGCCACAGCATCTACAAGATCCTTGAGTCAAACACATTGACTTTACAGAGCAGGAAACACTGATGGCCCAGGTTGTATAGCTGCAGTGTGGCATAGTCCAAGATGGAATAATTTTCTAAGTGTGTGTTTTTTTCATGCCATAATGCTTTCATCTTGCCATTTTTTCATTCGATTCCTCCTGGGCAGAGATTTGCAAAGAAGCACACTAAGTTAGAGGCAAATATCACACTTACCCCAGAGGATAACTCAACTGATTTACAAGTTATTGGTGCCTTCATTTAAATGAGTCATCTTTCCTCAAACAGGGTCTTTATTGATGCCACGAGTTAGAGGAAAATCATTTTTTTCTCTCTGTCAACTTCTGACTATATATAGCTGCTTGAGTAGTTTATAAATCAGCTTAAAATTGTTTTGCCAAAACCTCCTTCAAAATCCAAATTCATCTTCATTATCAGTGTAGCCTCTGGGAATATTGAATCTCACAAAAGGAATGCTTCACTGTTCTGTCCTGTTATAATCAAGGGTCAGACACTCCAGGGGTTTATTTCACAGATTCCAATTTAGAGTCTCTCTATCAAATTCATCAGATCTATTGGATGCTAATATAGTATTTTCTTTGGTCTTTGGGGGAGGACTGTTAAAACCAAATTATCCATTTTCAGTTCTTGAGAGACATGGAAGGATGGTTGGTAAAATGAGTTCTCTTGTTTTCTTTTTCCCTAGAACAATTTATAGACAGATAACAGATACCTAAGTCTGTGCAAGTTAAATTAAAAAGACAATTTAACTCAAAAGACTAAAACTAAATACGTTCCTAGAATATTAAAAAGTAAAAAGGCATATAGAAGCATTATGAGCATAAGTGAAAACAGCTAAAATCCATTATGATCAAGAAATGAAAAAACTAAAACAGAATTGCTAAAACTATACATTTCAGACACTAATAAATAATCTTAAGACATGATATAAAAATTGAAACCATTCATAAAATTTTCAGATCAATTTTGAGATAAGGATGATAATTATTTCATTAAACAAGATAAAGAATGTGAAGATAAAACTAGGGAAAGTCAGTTAATTTAGTTTATCTCAGTTTTGATCTGATGCTGGCTTTTGATAGTTAACTCAGGATAGAGTCTTTAGACAGGGAGGTTTTTGCAGGAGATTGATAGAATTTTGTAAACCTGGATCTAAGAACTATGCATAAAAAATCTTACATTCATACTCAATCTGTTGTGATATTCTTGTAGAAAACACCGGATTCTTGTCACACATCCAGGAAAGAGTAGGCTTGCAGACACTTTGAAGGGTGAGGGGCTATGAAATTTATTGGGCGAAAAGGAAAAAGACTCAGCCAAATGAGAGGGGTTCCTGTTAGCAAGCCCTCATCTCACAGATTGAATCCTAGGTTACCACCCAGGAACAGGAGGGGCCAGGCTCCTCCCCCTGCAAAGGGCGCAAACTTCCCAAGGCCCCACCCCTTTCTTCCAGTGCCAGGCTGATTGGAGGTTTTCTGTGGAGCCCTTTTTACTTGGTTGTCTCAGTCTGAATGTTTGTGTCTCCCCAAATGCATATGCTGAAATACCATTAATACTGGGGTGATAGTAGTAGGAGATGGTGTGTTGGGAGGTTATCAG